GATATTTTCAGTGCAGGCTTCTCCTGCTACTGGTTATAGTTACTGGACTGTAGCAGGTGCTATTGGAGGAGGCATTTTTGCTGTGGCAGCAGCTCCAGTGGTAATTACTGGACTAGGATTCACTGCTGGTGGAATAGCTGCTGGTTCTGTTGGTGCCTCAATGATGTCAGCATTGGCTCCAACAGCAGCAGGTGGTGTAGTAGCTACATTGCAGTCTGCTGGAGTGGTTGGGCTATCTGTTGGAGCCAAAGTTGGTGTTGGAGTTATTGGAGCAGCAGTAGGAGCTACTGTTGGAACTGCAGCAAAATAATATATATACAATCAAATGGAACAGATGACCATTGAATTTTTGTCCGTAGAATAGCATTGATCGAGTTATTAACTTTTGTCATTTCACTGCCTTTATAATGTTTTTAGGTCAAGATATTTCTTTAAAAAGTAGACTAATGGGTTCAACAGAAAACTTAAACTATCAGCTGTACTGTATCACCTTGATTTTGATTGATATTTGATACCTTTGATTGATATTTGTACTGTATCAATTAACATTTTGTTAAATAATAATGTCTTTTTAATGCTCAACTTTTGAATTCAACTAAACTGTTCAATTCTACAACCAAGTAAGACTGCAGGATGTGTTACATTAATTAACAGTGGGGGCGTTGTACACTACTTGACAATGACAAGTTGACAAAATTATAGCTAGGGAGTAGGGAATGTCACTGGGGAATGAATGACTGCTGAAGTGGCAGTCTGAAAGTATGGCCTCTCTTTAAATGGGAGGGGCTGCCTATTGTCTCGTAGCTCAGCTAAATTGCAAAGAGATTTGGCTTAACTATGTCGTTCTCAAAGAAATGCTGTGCTTTATTTCTGTCGTGTCTACTATTGGCAGTGCAGGCAAAAACTGACTTTCATGATGGGAAACGTAAATCTGCTGATGATGATCTGTTTTATAACATCATTGAAGCTATCCCTGTTGAAGCAGGAGCAGCACGGGCTCAATTAGTATCCACTGGACTTGGATTAACTTCTAATGGGTTAGCTGAAAAGTACATGTTTATTTTCATGATATCGGCAATAGTTGCTCCTGTAGCTACACTACAATCAATAGTAGGCTGGCTGACAGTGAAAGAAAACCCACCTCTGAGCAATATCAATGCTGGGAATAATTCTATTGAAAGAGGTGTTATTATCTCACTGGATCCACAGCCACAGATTGACAATTTTTGATTCAAACAATAAATAGATCTATATATGTATTTTACTTTTTAGGAACAGTAGTTTAGTTTAGTTACAGTGCATGATTGATCATGCATGTTTTTATTGATTTGCTTTTAATTTCAGCTAAATGTAAAATATTACAATTTATCGTCATAGAGAATAACTTGAATACAAATTGGTTTACTTTCTCTAGTGTTTTTGAAAATAAGTCAATAGACTCAATACAAAGGAAATTTTA